GGGGGAAATGAAAAAAAAAAAAAAAGGGGGAAGAAGTTAGAAAAAAAAAGGGGGGGAAACGGTCTCGGATCTAGCCCCGGCCTCGGTCCAGATGCAAGTTTAGAAGCATCTGGACCATGGATAGATAGCAGACTGTTGGTTTCAACAGTCTGCTGGAAAAAGGCTTGGTACAGCCGTTTCGGGGCTGCGTTTGGCCGCGGGCGAAGGCCAGATGCACCGCCAATGTTTAGGACTTGGTTCCCCTAGGGGAATATCAAGTTTTCTGGCCCTTGATCGCGATTTTGATCCAGGGCCAGGCTTTGTTCCGAGATTTGGCTGGGGGCAAAGTAGCTGCCCTCAGCCTTCAGCCAACTATAAAAGCTAGCCTGCCACCCAGCATCCTCACACTTGTGGCAATGCTGCTGGGGCATTCTACTTGAGTAGATGTTGGCTGGCTGGCTGCTGGTGTGATGAGGCGAAGTGTTGGAGGTCTGCAGTAGCACTTGGAGGAAGGAGGAGGCAACCATAGCTAAAGGCTAGGAGCTTCTTGCCCCACCTTCCATGTCGTGTTGCGGGCTGTGGGGAAGCCTTAGCCTTGAGGCTGCTGCTGGATTGGGCGGTACGGCGGAAGCGCTGCCGAAACGGTGCGGCGGTAGTGCTGGTTTCTTGGCGATACGGCGGAAGCGCTGCCGAAATTGTGCGGCGGCAGCGCTGGTTTTCTTGGCGGTACAGCGGAAGCGCTGCCGAATTTTTGCAGCGGCAACACCGATTTTCTTGGCGGTACGGCGCGGGTGCTACTGGATTGTGTGGCAACAATATTTTGCACAGGACTGCGAGAAGGGGGGTTGAACGTTGCCGCAGGAACGATACCGCCAAGGTGGAAGTGCACTTTGTAATAGAAAGGGTGTGGCGATCGTCTTGTTGAGGATGTTGCGGCACGCGGTACCTGTAAGGACTGTTAAGGCCGCTGTTGTTTTTTTTTGCGGCACACTGAGTAAGCGGGGATTGGGTCCGAGACCACCAAGTATTGCGGCAGGCAGGTGGTGGCCTGGCTTGGTATTTGGTGGGTTGAATCGGTGCTGTCTTTGGTGAGAGGTGTGACATTGAGGCTGTGGGGTTTGAGAGTGTGACGCCCTCCTCAACGGCGGGCTCGCTTCTGTGTTGGTGGCGGCGCCTGAGTCAGAGGTGGCGATTGAAGGAGGGTGTGACCCATCCTTGTGAGTGGCCACAACGAGAGTTTTGCGGCCGAACGTTTTTCAGCAAATACTTGGCTTTCTTGAGTGAGCCTTCAACAAATTCACTCAAAGTCAGTGTGACTCAGCTCCTTTGCACACCCGCGTGAACCCACACCTTGCATGACCTTGCTTTGAATTCAAGGGAAAGGGTAGAGTGAAAGTGTGATGTCATGCGTGTGGAGAAAGGGCTGACTTGTTTGAGGGATGGATGAATCTCTTGATTGTTTCTTTTCTTGATTGTGCAGGTAGGTTGGGGGATGCATGTGAGAAGGAATCAGCATTGTTTGYTCGAGATAATAAYRGGGATGCTTACCTCTCTCYCACTCAACCTGAATGCATGTGACAGAAAAGAGGAGGAACAAAAATAATAACGGGAGTGCGAACGGACGGGTGCCGGAAGAATGAAGGCCGTGGGAAAATTAAAAGGAAAGAAGACAAGGAAACACCTTAGTATCTTCCCAAGGATTTCCCCATTCTATCCCGAACGACCACTATCCTTCTATGCGCATCCAAAATATCTTACCTTTTTCTCTTCTCAATTCGTCTAAGTCGCCCCTTAGCCGGGAAGGCATAGAGGGGTCGTCTGCACCTACGGTCTAGGCTTCTTCTCTCTATGAGGCATCCGAGGCGGGGGTTCGTTGCCTTAGGGGCCGGCCCTGTTATCGACTCGGAGCGGACCGCTTATGTGGGGGGATACCATGCTGTTGCGGTGGAGCCAACCCAACTTCTGAGTCCTGAACAATGTGTTCGGGCGAGGGGGAGGGGTATTCCAGACCACTTCCTAGAGGGTAGGGGGTCTTGAAGCTAGGAGCAGTCGCCTCCTCGTGCTTTCAGGGAAAGGGGAGGCTGAATCTAATACCCTGTTGGGTGGCCATATTAGGTGTCACCAACGCGTGGGAGGGCTGGCGCCACAAGAAGCCCAGCCCGTGCTTCAACTAGTGTTAAAAGAAGTGCAAGTAGGCACTACTTTCGCGGTCGGACCGTGACATAAGAATCACGGCCCGAAAAGGGAAGTGGAAATTGAACATGGAAATTCGTATACCTAAAATTATTTTGACAAGGTTATCGCTTCGTCATTCAGATGCTTGCGGAGACAGTGATCCTCCGATTGTTCAGCACACGCGAAGCGGCGGCTAATCGGTTAGCGGTGCCAACACGATCCCGCGCCGGCATGATACGAAAAGGAAGGCTGGTGTGCAACCTACTTGAAGTTTATTCGGAGCGGGATGCGCCACGATTCTGGGACGGGGGCGTGAGGAAACCATCGCGGAGTTATATTTTCTTGGTTGAACTAGGTCAGCGTATTATATGACTTTGCGTCTCCTACTCCATCACGGGATTACGGAGATATGAACCTAGTGGTGGTTCACGAGAACTGTCCGGGAGTAGAGACCATTCCTGAGGTTAGGGGGATGTTCCTCCATATTGTACTCCGTTTGAACGATCTGCAAGGACCATTCAGCCTTCCTCATCATATGAACCGGGTCCGGGCGAATAGATTTAATACCGTTCACTCGGAACGTTTTGATGTCAACGCATTTTATGACGAGGCTTGTGCAATCTACGAGTGCCTCTTCTAACAGGCGGCTCTTTCGGTGTGCAGATGTCCGGCGGACGGCGAGATCTTACTCAGGCCAGGTATCTACTGATTCGCGACACTATGGACGAGGAGGTGATTCGACGCGCGGAGCGATTACTACTGGTTTGAAATGGAGCACCCACACGTTGGATTGGCTTTATCGGCCTGCTCAGTGATGGGCAGGGATTTTTTCCCAACTCGCGCGCAGATGTTCGTGCCAATGTGGCCCGACTTCCGGGAGAAGTTCATGGATATACGTTGTACTTCCATCGCGCGAGCAACCTCCAATGCCTCTCTCGGGTCATTGTGAGCGTTAAAATTACCCTATCCGGGAAGCGCTACGGCGTCATCCGGATTAAGGACACCACGACCACGCACCTTTTTCGGATGGGTCAGCCGTTCCGCGCCATAGTCTGGAAGCTCGCCTCACGGATGGCTTCTCTCTATGATACGCGGAAGGTCCGAGTTGTGCGAGGTGGACGTGTCTCCACCTTGACGTTTGACGACGAGGAGCTAACACGACTCGGCAGGATAGAGGTTGAGGCCCATGAGGGCCGACAGGTTTATCCCAGCTAAGCGCACCCTCTCAAATCTTGTGTCATAGTGAGTTGTCCTTATAGTAGGGTCACGCCTATGTGATTCTACAGGGGTAATAATAACAAAAGAAAATTAACGACCTTATGTAGGTAGGCCAACCAGATGGATAGCATCTGGATTGCCCCGATGATAGCACTATCATGCTGATGCATTGAGGGGTAATCAACCACTTAAAAATACGCTGAACAAAGCGAAGGCCGAACACTTGAAGAGGTGTCGAGCAGAACAACGAGGACGGGGTAACAGAAGCCGAAACAGTCCCGCGCCAAGGAACCATGTGTTCGCAATAGCTACTTCGTCATTCGTGGAACAAAGAGAGTAATTATTGCCTAGGAGGATAAAGCGACAAACAAAATTGTCATTCGCTCCTCCAAGTAGATGCGTGCGGTACGATGGTGCGGTCGGACCGGGAGTTTAAACATCGACCAGGAAGCAGATCACTTGTTGATCTGCATGTATTTACATGTAGAGGCTGTGCACGACGGATCTTCCGTCCTCGGATGACGGTATAATTGTCCCTTCAGTCAGGTAGGCAAGAAATGATAACCTTGGCATATCATCTCATCAAGTCGAAATGTTGGTTATGTATTGGTTTCGTTCATTTTATGAGTAGGGGATTATAAAGAGGCTAGGATTATATGTTGGATTTCGCGTTTTGGTCGAGGCCGTCCTAGTCGACCGACGCTCGTTCGTACCAAGGAGATCAGCGCCCTCGGGAACGAACAACGTTCGGGTCCACTTGGCGTTAGCCAAGCGTACCTATACTCCAGCGAGCGAGCAAACGCCCTCGGCTGACCTACCTCTGCAATTGCATGTAAAAGCTTTCGCACATGGGTCAGTAGCTCGGTAGGGATACGCCCCTGAGGGTGGTGACAGCCCCTCAGGGAAGATAAGTTGTGCCCCGCGAAAACCTATCCTGCCGTAGGGGACCGCGGGATGTATAGCTGGCGCACCCAGCTAGAGCGGCGAAGGGACAATGCGACCACGTCCGTCTTGGCGGTTCCCGGGATTATTTCTGCATCGTCCTAAGTTGTCTCTCGATTATGTTTTTCTAACTCCTGCGTGACATAGCCGGGAGGGCCCTCGTTCACGGGAGGGCCGATGCGCTCGACAGGTGGCACCATTGCCGGGGAATGACGGCAAACTACCGTCCTCCCTGGTGGAACGACACTCGGGAAAAGGATGGTTATGGTGATTTTAAGTATTGTGTATTATTTGTTTGGATTGAAAGCAGTCAGTGGTTATTAATGCCTGGGAAAAGAAAGAAGGCAAGGTTTGGAGTGAATTGTTGGAATCTATTTGACACTTGGACATGTGGGTTTGTCGTGTTGATTCTTTCAAAATGACGGGAGGAAATGTTGATCCCGCAAATAGTAATGCAGGGGATCGTCGCAACAATATTCTGGAACTCGCATGAGCCATTCGTGAGGCTGATAATCAGAAGGCACAGTTGCCGAAGGTTCAAGTTCCCCTCTTCGATGGCACCAATGCCTCAGCATGGGCGGACAAGTTTGAAGAATTGGGCAGTTGCTGCGAATGCTCGAGTGAGAAGATGCTTCAAATGGTGAAGCGATATTGTATGGTCGAGTACAAAGAGGAGGTGTCGGAGTTGGTGCAAGCTTCGCGCGACTGGTCGGACTTCAAGGCCAAATTATTGGACAAGTACCAGTTGGGGGATCAACTGCTCGATCTGGCGGACTTACGGAAGGTTAGTCGTCGGAAGTTTGGTACGGCCAAGCAGTTTCTTACAGAGTTTGAGCGGGTTGCGCGCTTAGTGCCTGACCTTCCAAATAAGGATCGGTGCCTTATCTTCCTCGAAAACTTTTCAAAAGTTTAGCAGCGGGAACTGATGAAAGATATGACTGGGCGATACGAGTGGCCAAAAATCAAGGAGAACCTGTTGGCTGGGAGCTTCGACCAGATGCTTTACCGTCTCCTGAAGCAGCAAAAGGAGGACCTCGAGAAGGAAGGGGTAAGCGCGGACAAGGATCAGGCCGTTTACAAGACCCTGACTGACATGCGGAACATGATGGCTGACATGAAGGAGGAAAGGTTAAAGCTACAAGTGATGATGGTCCAGACAAAAGGTGGAAAGAGGAAGGGGAAAACACCCGCTGTGGAGGAAGTGAGTGGTAGCAGCAGTGAAGAGGAAGACGAGGAGGAAGAGGAGCCTCCTCGAAAATTGACCAAAGCAGAACGGAAGGCCCTGAACCAGATACGAGGAGGGCAGGGCACTAGTAAGAAGCAGCGGAAGAATTATGGAGGAGGTGGACAAGGAATTAATCAGGAACAGGCGGCTCCAGCCGCTCCTCAGCAACCCCAATCTCAGGCAGGAGGCCGAGGCCGAGGTCTAGGTAGAGGACAAGGCACTCGGGGAGGCCGAGGAAATGGGGGCGGCCGAGGCAATTGGCAGAATTGGTTTTGTAAGTATTATGGCCAAGATGGACATGGGATACGGATTTGTCAGACCGTTACCAAAGATGAAAACGATAAGGTTATATATATACGAATATCCGAGGCGAGGTCTACGACTTCGAAGGGAATCTCATCGATCCCAATGTGGAGGGAGGAATGAGAAAGGAAGTTTTCCGACGTATGGGGCGAGATCTTCCAACAACTTTTCGACTCGCTTCTCCGGAAGAGGTCGAACAGATTGAGTTGGAAGCGACGATGGAGTCATTGACAATTGAGGATGCCAAGGCCGGAAATGAAGGTTTGAGCAAAGGGCAGGAAAATATACTGCAACGAGCTCAGACAGTGGTCAGAAAAATTACTCGATGCAGGGAAACTTTCGTTCGAGTATGTGCCGACATGAATGAAGAGTGGTCTGGGTTTCCCCAAGTTTTTTTGTTTGGAGGATGGGACAGAGACGGCCAAGGAGATCTTACTGATGTTACCGCATCACAGCCTGGATCGTCATCGGCAGGGCATTTGATGGCCACCACGGTTTTGTCCCGTCCTGCTTTCAAGCGACCTGCCACTGCTGGTCTCCCACAAGCTCGGAGGGCTCGAAGGCCGTCGCGGCCAAGGGCAGCGCCAGAAGAAGGACCAAGTCATCCTCGAAAAATCGAGACAGTTTCAATTCAAGAAGATGATGGTGAGGAGTACGAATTGTTGCGGGCCGAGGATGAGCGGCAGGCCAAACAACGGGCCATGGAGAGGGAGCCAGAAACGGGCAAGGCCGATATTGGGGAAGGTGAGTTGAAAAAGAAGAAGCAAGTTTACACGATTCCGGTAAAGCAGGGGCTGGATATTGAGCAAATCGTGGACCAGATTTTGGAAAGCCAGCGTGATCTGTTCACGCTCAAGGAATTCTTGGTCGCGTCACCGAAAATTCGAGAGGAGTTCAGACACCGATTGTCAAGGAAAAAAGGTTATGACGGTTAAGATGAGTGATATCTTTCCTCAAGAGATTAAACATCAATCGAGCGGATACTGAATTTTTTGTGGGTGCAAGAGGGATAACTCCCTTTTGCGGAACGGCGAGTGACGTGACGATACAAGTTGGTTAAGTCAAAGTCCGTTCATATTTCTATGTGCTACCCAGGTTTGAGCATGCCGTGTTGCTGGGCAGAGTTTTTCTCTGTCGATCAGAATCCATCATCTTCAATAAGCATGATGGTACTTTGATCGTGGTTTTGTGTGACCCCGTATGTGGCTATTACGAGGTGATAAAGTGTGAGAACACGCAAGAAGAAGAAGTGTATTATAAAGAAGAAAGAGAATGGATCAGCATGAGGAAGGAAAAAAAGTATGAAGGCGCCATGTCGATTGACGGAGGAGAGGATTAAGAATATGATCATTGGAGAGGAAGGGTCAGGAAAAAAAGTATGAAGGCGCCATGTCGATTGACGGAGGAGAGGATTAAGAATATGATCATTGGAGAGGAAGGGTCGCTTACTGAAAAGGAGGTGGACTTCCTTRTCAGTGTCATGAAGAAAACCCATTTGGCTTATGCCTTCGATGATGATGAGCGAGGGAGGCTTGACGTTGACATGATTCCAATGATCAGGATTYATACGGTACCTCACGAGTCGTGGAACATACGAGSCCCGCGTTATCCRAATCCAGATGRTCATCGTAGAATTGTCGAATAWCTGGACGRCAAAATTCGGACAAAGGTCGCGGATTACTCATATGGACCATATGYGTCTCYCTGGTTTTGTTTTATCRAGCCAAKTGGCRTATTGCGATGRGTGCAGAACTTGCARAAGCTKAACTCGGTGACGGTTCRTGATGCCRGAGGACTTCCACATGCCGATCAGYTGTCTGAGTCGTGCGCAGGYAGACCTATCATCACTCTCATCGACTTGTACTCARGATATGATCAATTCCCTCTCTATACGGCAGACAGGCCGATGACGGYCATGCATACGCCGAGGGGATTAATTCATATRTGTGCRGCGCMTMMAGGATGGACGAACGCCGTAGCAATTGTTCAGAGATATATGATGAGAGTCATGCAKSCACTTTGTCCGGACGTGACCTCACCTTATATYGATGATCTGGCCATACCTGGGCCACGTGTCAAGGACGAGACGGAGGTGCTGCCAGGCGTTCGAAAGTTTGTTTGGGAGCACGTTCGTAAYGTGGAGAAGGTCCTATCAAAGTTAAAGGAGTACAACCTCACCGYCAGCGGTGTCAAATCTCGGCATTGTATGTGTGAGGCGACTATCTTRGGCTTCCTGTGCGATGAGAAGGRCCGTCGGCCAGATTCCAAGAAGACAAACAAGATTCTGGAATGGCCGACTCCKCTTAAGTCCATCACTRATGTGCGYAGTTTCTTGGRGACTTGCGGATTYTGRCGCATCTTCATTCSCAAGTTCGCAGCAAGGGTRGAGCACCTACGGAAGTTGGTGCGTAAAAATCAGGAATGGGAATGRGGTCCAAAGCAGCAGGCGGCAGTTGACGATATCAAGGCACAATTTCGAGAAGGAGGATTGATCCTGGGGGTTCCAGRCTTTGACAATGACCCGAATCGGCCCTTTGTGGTTGAAACGGATGCAGGCCCCACATTGGGTGGTGTCCTCATCCAAAAGGATGGAGAAGGGCGAGAAAGGCCATTGAGATTTGAGAGTCGAACGCTGAATGAGGCGGAAAGGAAATATTCTCAATTTAGGAAGGAAACCCTTGCAGTGCTTCATTGTTTCAGGATCTTCCGAAACTACGTGTTTGGGAGACGGTTCGTCCTGCGGGTGGATTCGACTGCCCTGGCGCAGTCACTGAAGAATTATTCTCCCTCGGATCCAACTATTGCTCGATGGTTGATCTATATCTGGATGTTCGATTTCAAGATCGAGCGTATTGTGGGGACGCAAAATCGAGCCGATGGATTGAGTCGGATCGAGTGGGACTCCTCGAAAGATCGAGCAGAAGACTTTGTTCCTGTGGATGGATTTCTGGAAACAGACGAGCARCAGTTGAGTATCAATKTTTGGGAGTATATTAACAATGCTTCGTCCCGACCTGGGAAGTCTATCTGGAGTTCTCCGAGTTGTTATCAGAAGCGTTCAAACTTGTGATGAGAGAGCCCTTTACTGAGGAGGATCCCTGGGGCGAACGGTCCGCGGAACAAATGATGAGGTTGGCATTGTCTGACCCAGTACAACTTTCGAAAGAAGCCCTTACGATTGAAGTTGGACATGAGCAAGGCGACGAAGTCCTCAGGATCTCCGGGGGCATGGTATTCCTGGTTAATTCGTTGATACAAGAAGATCACGGTAAGCTAATGTTGAAAGAAGGGGAAGGCAGTGAGATCAAAGAAGCCTTTCGTCAGGAGGAATATGATGGGATCTATAAGAAGATTGGGCTTTGGTTGAATGGGGATCTGAACGAGGCAGAGATAGAGCCAGAAATAAGAGAGAAGGCAAAGGATTTTGTCGTTCGACAGGGGCATCTTTTCAAGAAGTCTAACGATGGAATGCCTAAGAGAGTGGTGTGTGGGGTTCCCAGACAGTTGGATGTGGTTGCGACTCTACATGATGGAGTGACAGGTGGGCATCGGTCCGCACGAGCAACATTAAGAAAGATCCAACATCTCTATTTTTGGGATGGTATGGGTAAAATGGTGGTGGAATTCTGTAACTTGTGCGTCCCTTGTCAGAAACGTTCAAATCTCCGTTGCGCTGAACCACTTAATTCACGATACGTGGTTGAGTCAAGGGCGGTTCTGCACCTCGACCTGGTTGTTATGCCACCCGGGCTCAATGGGTAAGAGTATATTTTTGATGCAAGAGACAATCTTACCGGGTTCGTCGATGGGCGTGCAATCCGTGAGCGAACCGGGAAGATTTTGGCAGAGTGTATCGAAGAGTTCTACCTTCGGTATTCATTTGTTCGGGAATTTATGATAGATCGAGGCGGCGATTTTCGGGCAGAAGAGGTTCAGGCTCTCCTAAAAAGACTGGGAGTGAACTATAGTTACACCACTAGAGCACATCCTCAAGCTAATGCTCCGGTCGAACGTGGGCACGCCACCTTGACTAATTTGCTAGCCAAATGGTGTGCTGGCAAGTCGTCAACATGGCCCGTCTATCTCAGAGCTGCCATATTTGTTGAAAATATAACTGTGAAACGAAATACTGGGTATGCTCCGGTTACGTTATGGTTTGGACAACATGCTACATTTCCAATCGAGAGTTTCCTGACCACATGGCAAAAACAGGATATGAAGGTCATGCTTTCTACAGAAGAGTTGTTAGACCTAAGGGCCAGACAAATAAAGGCGACTGAGGAAAGAGTTGTAGAGGCTGCTGCTTCAACTGCGGACAGCAGACGGGCGGACAAAGTTAGATGGGATAAGCAACCCCGGGTTAGAAAGGAGTCGTTGGAAGTTGGGGATATTTTGCTCCTCTATGACTCTTCTCTTGAAAAACAGTGGTCGAGGAAATTAGATAATCGATGGATGGGGCCATATCGTATTATTAAGAAAACGGAACATGGAGCATACGAGATTGAGGAGATGGATGGAGCACGTGGGCGAGATTGGGTTTCGGGCTCACGCTTGAAGAAGTTTGTTCATAGGGACTAAATAATGCCTTACTTTTCTTAACAGACATTGATACCTCTAGCTAACTTGATTTTATGATTAAGTATTTATAAGATATATTTTCCATGTAATGGACAGACACGTATGGACTTGTAATGAATTATTTGTTGACGTCATTTTTGTCATTATTCTTCGTTTTCGAATAATATAATTAATGTGCACAATGATTTTTCAAACCCTGTAAAAATGATTCTCTGAGCATGCATTTCTTTTATTTCTTATGTTAAATGTGTTTTGCTTATGAAGGATGGGTGTGAATCATTTGCGCAAAGTTATGACTTAGCGTATAACATGTGGCTTCCTGAACGATAAGTGTTCGTTCTGTAGGCACATGGTTTAATAAATATAATAAGTTATATGTAATACCTAGTTTTTATTGTGTCCTCATATTCCTGAAAGATGTGAGYCTTGTAGGTGGTAGTGAGGCTCGTGCCGGAACTTGGTTCCTGGTCCACAACGAGATGATGTCATTTTCCTTGAAAAAGGACGATGGCTACACTATCACCGAAAAGGAGGATGGTGTCGTAATCCTGTTGAGACTCCGCCWACGGTGGGGAGCGACCGTTGCTCATCACAGGGGTAGGGTTGGTCGTCTATCCTTGTGATATGCAGGGTCGCCGTGTCCTTATGATCCTCGTCTGACCAACTTGGATTATATGGATGGGGTTGTCTCGCACTGTAGGCCTGGCATTAACAGAGTTGCAATACTGGAATCGGGGGGAATGTGGTGAGGCCCGGATCTAAAGCGGGGCTTGATGTCGGGATGTTATCCTTTGCGGAGGATTACACCACTCCTCGACGCARTCRCATGGAATTCGGGGATACTAAGACGTAAAAATCATAGGTATTTGTAAAATTGCACAATCGGATGGGTTATGAAACTCGGGTAAAGGACTTAAATAATGGGTTCTTGTATTGGATGGCTAGTTCAGATTATGTCTGAACGATTATCATAGGCTGGGTTATGGAGACCTATCAGGGGTTATTCCTGGCTCATTCTGGGAATTAGCGGAAGGTTAATACGGGTCTTCCAGAAGGGATGGTGGAACACCGGAGCCTTGCTATTATTATCCYCGACAACCGTGACTGTAGAATAGTACGAGTATCCTTGTGTTACGTGGGAGGTCCAGGTTAAACTCCTGGCAACACGTGAGTGTGTTGAAGTGTTGTGGATGCATCCCCATTTACATGAGAGACCCGGGTTAAATTCYCGGCAGTAATGGTTGTTTGCCCAGATGATTAAAATAATGATTTCCAACCGAATGAGTTTTGTTAGCCAGAACCATTAGAATAAGGTCCTTTAAATTTTGGGCTTCCAGGGGCTGAATTTGGGCCTGAGTTTCGAATTTTGGGCTTCCAGGGGCTGAATCAGGTACCGATCCGATGAATGCAGAATGATTGTGAATTTTGGCTTCGAGGGTATAACTCGTTTAATAGTAAGGAGTCTGTTTTTTCGAATATCCGTTGTTATAGTATCTGTGATTTTATTAAGATTGAAGGATACTAAGAGAAGTATCTGCAAGATTTCATATTGAGAGCACCAACCACGTGAACGACGTGGAAGTCGTTCAATGGGGCCCGGGAATGCTGTCGGGGCAGAAACCGTGACAAGGGTATCTGCCCGTATTTTTCAACATCGGACGCTGTCTGACCTTCTCACTTAATTAGAAGACTTGATGAAATTGACGTTGCCAGAGGTTATCCAGACCAGCGCTATGACTGAAAGACTTGAACGTTTTGAACCTGACGTCGTGGACGAAGGACGACACCGACATCCGTGCGGGATAACGGGGGTCGGCACTGTCGTCCGCGGGTTTCGACGAGGCCGCACTGGTGTGCGATCGTGGGGAAACTAAAGTTGAGCCTACTCTACCTATAATAAGGTTGCGCGGCTTAACAGCCGCGCGATTCAGGGTCTAAGCGGGCCAAGAAGGGGTCGCCGCGACAAGATGGACCGCGGCGTGGAGGGATGGCTTAGGGGGTCCATACGGCTTTTGCGGCAAGGACCCGGGGGCGAAGGCGTCGAGGCCGGCTAAGTACGGCAGCTGTTAAAGTTGTCGGCCGCCGACCCCGCCTGCCAGCCATGGCAGCAAGCCGGCTTAGCAGGCATAGCCTGCTAGGCGTTAGCAAGGTGCCTGCTGGGCAAGAGGACCCCTTCATATAGAAGGGCCGCTCCTTTTCTGATGTGAAAAGGAGCTAGCCCAGTAGGTACCGTCGCCAGATTATTACCCTGCTGACATGGGGATCGAACCTAACAACCTGCACTACCGGGCTAGCTCCTTTTGGAGCAGCCTGCGAATTGACTAGGGGTGCGGCCGATTTCTGGCCGTATGATCTTCGAGATCGCGTGGCTGAAATCAGCCGCGCCGGGGTGAAAAGGCCCCTGCGTGAGGATGACATGCATAGGCCGAAAAATAGCCGAATTTTCTTCTTTCGAAAAAAAAAAAAAAAAAAAAAAAAAAAAAA